ATTAGTTTTAAGTGAACTGCAAATAAAAATAAATTTTAAGTGAACTGCAACAAAAAGGTGTTTACAAAAGTGAAACACTTAGAAAGTAATTGTACAGTAAGATTAAACATTTAAAAATTTTACAGAGAAGTCTCTCATGCTCACCAAGGCTGCATTTATTATAAAATACTGTAAAAACAGCAATACTGTTAAAAAAATTACATTATAAAACGGATAGCTCCGGTCCTTGATTCTGATTGGTTGAGCCGCGTTGTAAGCTGTTGTAAATTACTCTATAAACATACACCTTTGTTTACTTTGTGTGTTGCTCGGCAACCACTTTGTTGCAACCACAACTGTTTCTGAGGAACTACATTGTTTGGTGGAAGAATACTGTTTTTATTAATGTCATTACACTTTGCTTCGCGTCGTGCCTAACAACGCCCCTTAGCTGTTATAAATTCACTTTATAAAACGATAGTTCCGGTCCTTGATTCTGATTGGCTGAGCCATGTTCGAAGCTGTTGTAAATTACTCTATAAACATACACCTTTGTTTACGTTTGTGTGTTGCTCGGCAACCACTTTGTTGCAACCACAACTGACTGTTGCAACCGCTTCGCGTCGTGCCTAACAACGCCCCTTAGCTGTTATAAATTCACTGTAAACCACGGCTTCTTGGGGCTTATTGCTTTAGTAAACCACGGCTTCTTGGGGCTTATTGCTTTAATTTAGAATTTTGCTATTTTAATATATTTTAAAATGTAATTTATTTCTGTCAAAGCTGAAATCAGCAGCCATTACTCCAGTTTTCAGCATCACATAAGAAATCATTCTTCCGAAAACATTCTAATGTGCTGACTTGCTGCTCAAGAAACATTTCTTATTATTATCAAGGTTGAAAACAGTTGTGCTGCTTAATATTTTTGCTGAAACTGTGATGCATTCTTTAATGAACAGAAGGTTCAAAACAAAAGAACATCATTTATTTGAAATAGAAATCTTGTCTTTACTGTGACTTTTGATCACTTTAATGAATGAACAAAAGTACTATTTTATTTATAAATACTATTTTATTTTTACTGACACCAAACTTTTGAACGGTAGCGTTTATTTTAATGTATACATGCATATTTCAATCAAAATCTTTATCTTGAATAAAAATGCCTATGATAATTGTCAACAGCCTATTAACAAAGTCAATAAAAACACTAGCAGCGATTAAACACAACAGCAAAGCTCTTACATCATTTTCTGGAGCTGTTGCTGCTGTTGTTTGCTCCTCCTGTGCTGCAGGAGTTTTCTCCTCACGGCTAGTCTGCTCTCTGGAAGGCCTGGCGCTCCCTCCTGGACCGGTGGGCTTGGGATAGGAGGCAGGACATGGTGCCTCCTCAAACCACCCACCTGGGACTTCAATGCACCTGCACCTGCCGAGGTCGGCATTTCAGCGACTAAAAGAAAATATGATATTTGCTCCGTTTGGCATATATTAGGTTACTGTGTTTAAGAATTCTGGCGCTTCGTTCGCATACTCCAAAACAAAGTACTGTATTGAATCCTAAATTACAAATAATTATGGAAACCTAAATTACAAATAAGTATGTAAAGTGAGTGATTAGGCATTTTACCGTTTATAGTAGCTTTGACGCGTCATTCGTACTCCTAACGGTATTTTTGCTCTGAGCTCGAAACTGATACAAGTTTGTTGCATTTGTGGAATTTCCGTCAACACATTGGTTGCCATGGATGCACAATCGGAAGTGCTTTGCTATCAGAGAACGCATTTTAGGACGGTCAGTAAGATATCTGTTAAAGGGATACTTCATTCCTAAATGAATAAAAAGAAGAAAAATATAAGTAATGATTAACTCCAAACCTGTATGATTTTCTTTATTTTGTGTATTGCAAACGTGTAAGCATGTCAGTTCAGAGCACAGACATGTTAAACAAAATGACAGACTCATTCATCATTTAGCTTTTTTATTAAGGAAAAATACGCAATAAAAGTACTGTGAACTGTGAGTTAGGCTGTCAGTTTCCAAAATTCTGACGAACTTTTGTGTTTTACAGAAGAAAGAAAGTCAAGCGACTTTGGAACAAGTCATGAGGGTGAGTAAACAATTACATTTTTTATTTTAATTTAATTTATGCATTTAGCAGACGCTTTTATCCAAAGCGACTTACAGTGCATTCAGGATAATAAATTTTTTACCAGTATGTGTGTTCCCTGGGAATCGAACCCACGACCTTTTGCGCTGCTAACGCAATGCTCTACCACTGAGCCTCAGTATTATTATTAATAATAATAATTATTATTATTATTATTAATAATAATAATTTAATAATGATTAATATTATTACATATAATATTTAATATTTTTCAATATTATATTTTTAAGATGATGTCAACAAGGGTTTAAAACGTTCGAATAACGATAAATCCAAGCTATTTCATCTTTAAAGAACTCCAAAGCCCTTAATATTTTGTCTATATATTTTATCTGATTTTTTTTTTTTTAATATATTTATTTTATTTTTTATAATCAGTGCTTCTCATTTCTTGTTAAATGTACTACAGTATAATAAACTTATATTAAAATGTATATTTAATAGGTTTTCTATTTGCTACTTGTAATATATTTTTTATATATTTTTTAACCTTTAGGGAAAAAATGCGTTTTATATTTTGTTTGAGGGGGACACCTACATTTTATTTAGAGGCCCAAAGTGAGAAAAAAATATTTGGTGCAGTTGTTGTTATTTACATGGCCAAAAAGTAAGACAAAATCCTGATAGCTTGTAATGTAAATCACCAAGATCTTTATAACAGTATAGCAGACTACTTAAAATGCATATAAACATCAGTTGTGACTCTATAAAGTATCTTCCAATAATATGTCTTACTGAGATGATATTTAAATGCTTAGTTTTAATATCAAAGCTCTGAAGTTTTAAATGTGGGGGAGAAATTTATGTGCTTCTTTTTGTTATACCTTGACAATATAATAGCATACTTATTTGCATGTTCTAATGTGGACATCAGTAATTAGCAAGGATAATGATTGATGCTGCTGAACAAAGTATGCATTCATGACCAAACTCGTGAAATGTGAAACAAAAGTCAGTTGATTTTATGAACAACACACCACACGAGGGCAACATTTCCCCAACATCATTACAACAGGGCGTTCACAATCCAATGCACATGGTGTGATTAATGTAGTACTGCTAGATGCCCCGTAGTTTAATTACCCTCAGAGAGATCCTACTTTGTCTGTCTGGGTGTGAACAGTCTGGGTGTGATTCATTTGCAGCCACAGTGGTCCAGTAAACGTCCTTCGCCTGAAAATGACTCCTCATGTAAGCAAAATCATAACAAAGCCAGTCTGAGAGGACAAGACTGTCTGGGTGGTTCCAAATCAGAGGTGCCAGTTTGCAAAAACATTTATACAAACTACATTCTGGCCTCAACATAGTTTCGTACGGCTCCTCAAATGTTAGTAGTTCATCCCTTGTAGTTTATAAATTTGAATAAAATACATTCTGCATTTTCTGCAATATTGGTCTGTTTGACAAAGAAAGCTTTTATTTTATGATTTTATTTCTACCATTATGAGTGAAAGCAGCGCCACACATTGTGAACATTTGTCTACATTGCATTTCACGACATTAAAATAGGTCTGTCTTACCCAGTGAAGATGACTGACAGTTGTCACTCTGCTCATCAATCACACTGTAAGCACATTCAAGACAAGGGGCAAATGACCCACTTGGCTCACTAAAACCACTCTGCTGGTATTTAGGCAGTATACATTTTGATAACACAATGTTGCCCATAAACGTAGAAGTTTTTCTATAGTTGTATATTAAAATGCACAAATCGTTTCTTGCTTTTTCACTCTGCTGGTATTTAGGCAGTATACATTTTGATAACACAATGTTACCCATAAACGTAGAAGTTTTTCTATAGTTGTATATTAAAATGCACAAATCGTTTCTTGCTTTTTTTAAAGCATGCCATATCACAAAAGCCAATGAGGTCCAGGTTGTTTTGAACCCCAATGACTTTAATATGGACAAAAACATCTGAAACGATTAAAAATATCTTCTTTTGTGTTTCACAGAGAAAAATAAAACCATACAGGTTTGGAATGACATGAAGGGTGAGTAAAAATAATAATTTTGGGGTGTATTATACCTTTAAGATTGTTATTCAATGCACCAGTGTTATTTTAGTATCACTGAAATACTAGTATAGTTTTTGATAATATTTGAATGAGATTTTAGTAAATTTTCATTTTAATTATAGTTAAGGTTTTTGTTTTATTTTAGCACTTAAACTAAATGAAAGTGAGAAAATGGTTTATGAACCAAAAAATTTCACTCAGAAATACTATTAAATATCACAAACAATTACAAAGAAATGGAAAGTAACACACTGAATTAAAAATGAAATGTTGAACTGAAACAGTGTTTTCTTGCTAAATTAATTTTTTACAGTGTAGCTGAAATTAAATTTTAAATTTTTAATATTCTATTTTAGTTAATGTTTATTTTATTTAAAAATAATGCATTTTTTTTATGGTTTTAGTTTTAGTTAATAATAACCCTGCTATGCACGATGGAGATTGAAGGGTTTAGTAGGTTTCTAGTGTTTGATTCATTTTGGTTATCAAAGCTCTCAGTGTAAATCTAGGTTAGTTGTCACAGCCTTTAATTGTGCTTCAGCACAAATTCACACTCTCCACTAATTTCTAGCCATGCCAGATATGCAGTGCTTATGAAACTAGGCTCCTGGGATGGGAGTTGAAACGCATAAACCCTTTGCTTGAGGTCAGCCGGCAGCTACTGTATGTTTGTATGAGAGAGAGGGTGCAGAAGAGAGAGAAAAACGATAGGGGAGGGGTAGAGGAGCGTGGGGGGAGAGAAAGGCTGCAAGAATGAAGGCTGTGAGGCGAATGACGCACGATTATCTCCCCCCTGCCCGCTGATTGGCTGCGCGGGCCGCCCTTCAGAGAGCCCAGGTTTAGGGATGTGCGTTCAGAGCAGATTATGAAGCAGACCTCATCTCTGGCAGTCTCGTCAGATTGTCTCAATGGCTAAACACAAGCTTTTCCTGTTTTTTTCTCTGTTACTGTGTGTGTTTATCTCCCTGTCTTTGCCCTTCGATCAAGTGCCTGCGATCCTGGACAGGAGGTAAGAGCTGCGCTTTCAGCTCTAGCGTGGGGAGGGGGAATGGGGCAGTGATGCTGTGCAGCTGATGCACTGTCTTAGTCTTTTACAGTGGGCAAGAGACAGCAAGAAAATGTGCTTTATAAGGAAAATGGTGAAAGAGCATTCGTGGAACTCAGGAATTAATTTGACGTGTGTGGGCTCTAGATTCAGAGCATGTTGTGGTTCTGCTGCAGTTTTTCTTCGTTGTAACTATACTGTGCTAATCTGTATGCTAAACCTATAATCTATATATGCAAAAGATGATATTGAGCTCTGACAGCGGCAGTGAGGTGAAGACATAGTGTGAGCGCTGCTTTTCATTACATAAATGCTCAATTCAGCACTTAGGCTAGTGTCCAGCCATAACCAATGACAGCAGCGCAGTCCTCAGCTGCTGACCTCGGTAAACTGGCATTAGAACAAAGGCGAGAGTCACTCCTCGTGCACACACACTCCTCAGCAGGGCTCTGAAGACCAGATTTGCTGTGCTTACACTGTTTCTAGTTTAGAATTTTTAGCAGAACTACCTAGAAAGAAGAAGAAACTGTACAAATGTAGTTCTAAAGCTCTTGATATGTCATTTTTATATGTCATTTGGGTGCTTACATTGTTTTTGGTCCTAATTTTTGAGCAGAACTATGCAGAAAGAAGAAACCACAGTACAAATTTAGTTCTAGAGCTACTAATATATATGATTTGTATATGTCATTTCCATTTTTTTACTTTATTTTTTTAGCAAAACTAGCCAGAGAGAAGAAAAACTGTACAAATGTAATTCTAAAGCTCTTCATATGTCATTTTTTAGATTTTCAAACCTGCATTTGTATTCGTGTTGTCACCTTGATTGGATTATAGCAGTTTTATGACTCAATATGCTACGTCGTTGTTGATTCAGTGCTCATATCGCGCTTAGGAACTGAATGAACTTAAATGCTCCATGTGGTAATCTGTTTGTTTTCCCCACAAGTCTGATGTTTTGCTGTTTTTTAATCTCTTATATGATCACAAAGCTCTAAGCATTAATTCCAGTGTAGTAGAGGTGGGTGGGGTGACCAAACTGGTGTGGTACATAAGAGATGAACCTAAAGAGAGGAAACCAGGGTCATCTGATGCTTTCATTCGCACTCACACACCCTACTGACTTTACTGCAGGTGAACAGGCTTTAATGTAGGCCCAGTTCTGGACGTCAACACATTCACACAGCAGGAAACCTTCTCCCAGATAGTCCGGCAGATTCTTAATAAGGTTTTAGGAGATCGTCCGCCAAGCTCATTATCTCTGTGATTAGACGTATAAACGGTTCATCTAAGGATAATCCAGCAAGTTCAAGCGCGAGGGACGAGGTGTCACGAGATAAATATACATGTGCGTACATATACGCAAGGTGCCATTAAGTCTTTTTTAGCCCCCACTTTGTTGATGGACTCAAGGTGCTAAGCACGTGAGAATCATGACATTCGACTAAATGTCTTGTCTTCTCCTGAGACGCTAATCTGGACTGAAGATGTCAGACTTGTGGTCATGCATCACTGCTGCATCAAGCTGAGTGGATCTATGGGAAATCTGTCTTAGACGTTGATAAGTAGGCCACAGCCTGACACAAAGAGATCAACCCCTTTTTGTTTTGCTTTGTTTTTCCATTACAGCTCGGAGGTCCCACCATATCAAGCTGTGAGAATTAGAACAGGTCAGTATCTATTACTTGAATCCTTTTTAGGTTGCTTGCATTATTTGTTTAACTTTCCAGCTTCTTTAAATGTGGTAATATCATTTCTGCTGGCTTCTTTTTGTTAACTTTATGCATTCTTGTGTTTATCTATTTATTTGCGATACGTTAAACATTGTGTGAGACGCCAGGTTGAATGAAACAGTTTTGAGCTACATTTCAGTAGACAAGACTTTTTCAATAAACATACAGTTTAGACACTGTATTTTAAGTTAAGTATTTTTGCTCCACCTACAAAAATGCTTCGAAACGAAGCCACAGCAGAATCAAACATTGCATGTCTCCAAATAACACACAGCAGTAGAGTTTGTTCCTAAAAGTGTTTTGAACAAATCGGTTGAGTGAGCAATTCAATGACTCACTCACAAAAAACAGTATTTTTTAATGAATCAGTTGCCTGAAAATGACTAAATAAATCACTAATATCGCCACCTACTGGCATAATGATTTAACTTGAAAAACTGAAAAATCCCCACCACCAATCAAACTGATACTAACTGTTGTATCATGGCAGATTAAAAATTAGGTTTTATTTAAAAGCTAATGCAAATAGAATATTATGTAATTCTCAGATTGAATTAAACAATATACTATTGTGGTTACATCGCATATTGTACTGATTGTAACAAGAGTTTTATCTCTTAGATTTTTATTTGTCTTATTGAATTTCACTTTCATACCGCAGAAATGAAAGCTGTTTTTTCTAGTATATTCACTTTGTGTGCTAAGTAAAGCAGTGATTTACTGTGCTGAAATAACTCACCAAGCCATCTCCCCCATTGTCCTATTTCAACATTTTGTGATGCAGATGGAGAACATGTTGAGAGTCCAAGTGCCTCACATGAGGAGAGTTACTCGCCTGCAGCTGAAAATCCACTCAGAAGAATACTGCAGATATTGCATTTTCCCTGATAGTCAATGTGACCTTGGCTTCCATAAGCAACATCTCTGTGTCGTGAGTCTTGTAGGATGCTGGGTGAATTAAGGCAGTGATGATTTAAAAAATAATGTATCATGAGGAAAAAAACATGGGCCAGAGAATGTCTGTCATATCTGCTGTCTGAACCCTGAGTGTTTTCTTCTGTAAAACCCATCAATAATGCACTTGTTCCATACATTGTTGCTCAGTTTTTCCTGTTATCATTTTCAAACAGCCTTTTGGATGGCATCTGCATGCCCAGCCCAGAACCAAGCGGAAGTTACTACAGTCTACCAGCTCGGGACCCTATTCCCCACTGACTGTAGCTTACAACGGCAAGAGATGCATCCTTTTCAAAGCGAAGAGACTGGCTATTCGATACAGAAACAACACTTTCCTGGACCTCACAGAGAGGGTATTTGGACCCAATGCACAAGTAGACACCAAAGGCTCTGTTTGTACAAAGGAGAAGGCCACGTATGTAAAACTTCTTCTTGCCATAGATTCAGTATCATATATTGCAGTTGTCTGGTGCCTAAAACTAAAAAAAGCAAGTGTTTTGTTAAATATAGTATTATTTATTTACTAGTTAGAATATTAGTTTTAAGTTAGTGAATATATATTTGTAGATTTTGTATTTTGGACAGTGGCCTCAAAAATATTTGGACAATTAGCCATTATGTTATATATTAAAATATATTTTGTTATATAACAAGGTATTTAAAAAAATATTGAACCAAGTGGCATTTATTTAAGAGAAACATTTCACAAAATAATTTCATTTTGATTTCTAAAAAAATAATAAAGTAATAAATAATAAAACAGTAGCTACAGGTGCATCTCAATAAATTAGAATGTCGTGGAAAAGTTCATTTATTTCAGTAATTCAACTCAAATTGTGAAACTCGTGTATTAAATAAATTCAATGCACACAGACTGAAGTAG